AGGATAGGTTCACCGCCTTAGGGTTGGCATAGGTCAGAAGCGACTTGAAGGCACAAAACAAGAACAACCTGGACTGGAGGTTGAAGTGAAGGACGTGGCCAAATAAAAGCTAAAAAAAACCCCCACTCATAGAAATAAAAATTCATGCTTCTTAGCCATGTGGAAGATGGAGGACATTTTGGAATTCCTCCTGGACAGGAGGTTGAAATAGAGGACACGTCTGTGAAGAGGAGGGCATCTGGTCCTCCTGGCAGAGGAGAAGAATGTGGGACATCTCCAGGAGGGTCTGGCACTATGTAGGCTCCCAGGGTCCATGGAGGTGGGCTGGTGAGAGAAAGATAAAACCCCAAGTTGGAGGGGGTCCCTTTTTTTGGTACTCTGTGTGTGTGTGTGTTAACTGCCCTCAATTGGCCCTGACTTACAGTGACCCTGTGGATGAGACATCTCCAAGACCCCCTGTCCTCCACTGCTCTGCTTAGGTCCTGCAAACCCATGCCCATGACCTCCCTGATTGAGTCCATCCATCCGACATCTGGCTTCTTCTCTTTGTATTGCCTTCTACCTTTCACATTATTGCCTTTTCCAAAGAGTCATGCCTTCTCATGAAGTGGCCAAAGTAGGGCAACCTCAGTTTAATAATCTTGGCTTCCAGGGAGAGTTCAGGCTTGATCTGTTCAAGGACTCATTGGCCTTTTGGGCTGTATCCTCAGCACTCTTCTCTAACACCATATCTCAAATGAATTGGTCCTCTTCATATTCACTTTCTTCACTGTCCAGCTCTCACATCCATACATGGTGATGGGGAATACAATGGCTTGGAAAATTCTGACTTTAGTGCTCAGTGGTATAGCTTTACTCTTTAAGACAGGGGTTGGTAACCTACGGCCTGGGGGCCGAGTCTGGCCCCCTGAGGCCTTTGGACCGGCCCCAGGCTGGTCCTGCTGCTGCCACCACCCCCCACCATGGCCATGCGCTTCACAGCCACCATTTTGATTTCCAAAATGGCTGCCGCAACTCGTTTGTGCATGTGCCGAGTACTGCGCATGCGTGAGCGAGTCGCGGCTGCCATTTTGGAAAACAAAATGGCGGCCATGACTTGTTTGCGCATGCGCGGTCGAGGGTAGGGTGACTTGGAGGTTGCTCATACATAAGGTTGCCATGGGTCGAAGACAATTAGTAGTAACAACAAAGCATGGCTATAGTGGCCCTGCTGACTAAGGGTGTGTGAGAGTTGTCAGCCAAAAGATAATGTCTCCCAAGTATTGAAACAAAATATTAGAATGAGTTTTTGGTTTATTTATTTGTTTGTTTAAAAAACCTGATCCCTATTCATGCCATACTACAGTGTCATAACTTTACTATATATGCTACCATGTAATGCATTTATGTGTTCCTCTCAATTAGATGAACATGAAATGTGTGCTATTTATCTTTGGAAGGCGAGCCATAGCTTATCTTTATTATAATTACATAGCAGCTAGATTAAAATGTAATTAGACTTTCTAGAGCTGTAGCCTAGGCAAATAGTGTGTGTGGG